TGTAAGAGCCCGGAATGCCACGCCGCCGGCCCCCGGACCCGCTCTACCCTCCCCCCCCCCCCCGCCGGGTGCAGGGGGAACGCAGCCGCCGTGCGGTCTCTTGCGTTCCGAATGGTCGCTCGCGCTGCCACTCAAAGAGCAGGCACCGCCCCCGGCCTTTCCTTTCCCCGGCCGCTGCTCTTCCGCGCCCCTTGCGGGCCGGCGGGGAACTGCGATGATCGGGCACGCGCCTGGGAAGACCGTCACCCTGAATGAGACCGTCCTTCTTGTCGACCTGCGGGACGGGTTGGGCTACAGTACCTGTCCCTGCCCGCCGGCCAGAAGGCGGATGATGGGAGCTGGAGTCCAGCACCGAGACTGGCTGGGCGTTCTGGACAGCGCAGGACCAATATTTCTGGAGGGTGGCAGAAGATCTGGGACTCGGGACTTTGTCTTGGTCATCTTGATCTGCCCATTCTGTCCCTGAAGGATCTCAAGGAAGGTCCTTCTCTCTTCTTCAGCCGTCCATGTTATCATCAGGACAGCCCTGGGAACTGGAGTGAGAGAGTCCGAGCCTGGTTAACAAATAACTCGAAAGTGATGAGTTTGCTTCTGGACTTAGTGTCTTCTGTGAAATCCATCCAGAGTGAAGTGGCATCATATGGGAACCACTGTGGCTTGATTAGCAAAGCGTGGTTAAATCTTGCCTCAACAGGATGTGTCAGCCAGGGCAGATACTGACCCAGAACACCCAAGTGGTAATCTTGTACTCACATACTTGTACATTAACAGTGCTGCTTTGCCTGGAGTCTTTTGCACATCCAGAAGAATGGAATGAACTTCCCCTTGGAGATAACTAAAACTTTCCTAGTTGTGTGACCGAAGAAAATTCTTTCCAACTGCTGTGTTTCTTTGCTGGAAAAATGCCTGTAACTCTAGGAAACCATGATGTGTCCTAAACAAAGCTTGCTATAATAAACCAAATATTGAACCATCATATATATAATAGAGAGCTATAACTGAGCTATAATGTCATCTGCTGGGCTTAATTTATGGTGTGAACTCAATCACTTGTGGGTTATTCTGTAAATTATGGTTGGGTGAAGAAAGCCACGGAGTCATCTGCTGTAAGGGATCCAAAGGGTCAAAGATGGGGTTGAGCACTTGAACATGTTGGGCTTTAAATTCTTTCCACCAGAAGCTGAAAATCAGAACCGTCTGACTAACTTCTGCCTTGCAAGCACAATCTTCATCTTGCATAAAACTCTGCAGGCAGCAGAATACTGCCAGCAAAAGGAAGCAAATAAGATGAAGCAAGAACTGACAGTGACCAATTGTTTCATTTATTTATTAATTAGATTTCTGTCCTACGGTGGGACTCCATTTCACCAATTTTATTTTCACAACTACTCCCTTTGTGAAGTAGGCTGGGCTGAGAATAACCAACCAGCCCAAAGTCACCAAGTAATCCATCATGGTGAATGTGGCTTTTAACTTGGGGTTCCCTGGTCTTAGTCCAACATCCCTACTTATACGCTGCGCACTGGGTCAAATGTAACTTTAAATGGCACATAGGTTCTGTGTTATAACTTATACACTGGTTTGTTGTTATTTTTTTAGCCTCCCCAGCACAGTGTGTTCTGGATGGCTGAGTTTACAAAAGATGCATGATCAAGTCAGTTAAAGTCCAAGGGACCACATCCAACTTTCTAAGCCGGTTAGTTTGCAGCTTGTGTGAACTCAGTCCATGTAGTTGTTTTACGACTGAATACATTGTATGGAATAAAAATGGGTTAATTCAGTAGCCACATGAATCGTGCTGTGCAAACCCAGCTAATACACTGGTCTCTATCTCCATCTGGTTGAGAAGTGGTTGAGGAAAGGTAGATGTGAAATGTTTGCTATACGCAGGACAATGTCAGTAAAATTATAACAAGCAAGACTTCTTCAGTAGCTGTAACATCTCTGGACGGAATGAATGAATTAATGTGGGGGCCGTTACCCACCTTGGCACGGGGGGGGCTAGCTCTAAATCTAAATCTTAAACCCTAAATTTTCCTTCTCCAACCCTCCACCCACAGATTACAACAGCTCCAAGGTTCAGCCTACTCTGTGTGTCCTCTAGAAAAGTCAGTAGGCTGGCTGGGATCATTCTCTTTAAAATTTGCATTTTCACTTTCCTAATTAAGTAGTTCTTCCTCTTTCTGACGCAGTTCCGCAAATTGTACCAATCACTTCCAAGAGAACGACACTATCGGCCTCGTTGCACAATATAGATTTTAAAAGTCAGATCCTCTTTTGGATTTGCAGTCACTGGAGTGGTGACCACAGGTTTTTTTTTTTTTTGGCCTCCTCACTGGAGGTGACTTCTGTATTAAATGTAGGAACATTGCAGAATCAGCGAGAGTAAAACATGGCTTGTTGAGCAGAAGCACATCTGGGGAATCTTTGAAAAAAAATTCAGGAAAGAACCTTCCTGGTGTCTGTTTTGCGCTGTTTTCCTATTTGATTCCACGGAGCATGTGACTCCAGGTAACCAGCAAAGGTATGTTCATTTCAAACACTGGGGTGTTAACTTTTTTTGTAATTTGAAATAAGTTAAGGGTACAATCCAGGGCATTTTTAACTGGGAGTAAGTCTTGCTGAAGGGGCAACTTCTGTCATATACACCCATATCCACGTGCTGGTGAATTCAGCACGACTCAGCTCTGAACCAGCCTGCCAAAACCGCCATGCCAGCTTGAGATCCTAAAACATGCTTAATCTAGTTCATTGTGGGGTTGCAAATATTAGCCACATTTTGAATGAACGTTTTAGAATTCTTTTTAAAATATTATTGGCAATGTCATATATACAGGCGGTACCAAATGGATGCAAAAAGTAGATGACAAATAAAAACCCAAGCTTATCTGCAAATCAAGGCCATTCATATTCCTCCTAGGCAGCCTACTTTCTTACCCTAGTTGGATTATATTATTTTAATATTGGATGGACTTGTAATTTTAATATTATAAAATCTACCTCTGCAACCTGCCTCCTACAGTTTACCTGTCCTTTTATCCCAAGAGACATCACATTAAACATTTTGCCATCAGACAATACAGTATAATTTCCTTCAATATTACAGTGGTGACCTATATGAGTTTATGGCTTGGACCATTGTTAAATTCAGGACAATCTTCATATAGAATCTGTCCAACCTACACAGTCTAACAGAGGATGTTCCAGCTACCCACCCTGAAAGAAAACAGGAGGAGATTTAGTTTCACGCTAGTAGCCCCCTCCCTCTGGACTGTTCCCCCCCTCCAAGTTTAGGTCTGCCCCCACCCTGATGATATTTCAGAGGCTGACAAAAACAATCCTCTTTAAGAGACCCTTCTGACTTGTTTTATGGCAGCTACAAGTTTGTTTATAGATTTTAATAATTTTTTAAAAATATATTCATTAACTTTATGGAAGGATTTTATAAATTTATTAAGGTTTTATGTTTTAAGCCCTCTAGAATCAGAAGAGTAGGCAGTCTATAAAACTGGGCATATATGAAAAAAACATCATTGATGTTTTTGCTTGATGTTATCTGCTATCAAGTTGGGGTCAACTCCTAGTCTCCACATAGATAGATTTTCTCTATGATCATTATATTTAAGTTTTTGAAATCACTTTCAGATGGTTTGCTCCTATTGTTACTATTAGAAGGCATTTGCTAGGGGACTCTTTTGTTCCACTTCCACTTAGAGATAAAGAATCATAAGCCTTAAAGTTGTTCATTAATAGTTGAGCCCCTTGATAGCACACTGATGATATTTTATTTCCATTACAATGATCGTACTTATATCCAAATGTGTATTGATAATATTGACACATGTAAAATTGAAACAAACCCATGTATTTCTTGGTTTTGAGGGGATGAAGGTGATTTATTTCATCTTCTGCTTGGTGAGGCATAAGGGGCTACCTTGATCTAGAGAAATGAAAGTGCTGATCACTCAATCTGTTTAGTCAACAATCTGGCAAAACTGAACAGTGTAAAAACCATGAAGCTTGGGGAGAAGAATCTCAGATGGCTTCATAAGCAACATGTTTAACTTGGAGGACTTTCTGCAACTTGGGGTCCTTCAGATCTTATTTGAGAACATGCACCAGGTTGAGGATATTTTGGCCAGGGATGAGAGATTCTTGAGTTCACCACTGTTATGGCATGGGACATGGTTTGGGCAAGCCTCATATGCTCAACCACAATTTGCTGAGTTATTTTTTTCTTTTGGAGAAATGAGAATCATAATAATTAGTGACAAGATGGTTGTGAGAGTTAATAATAATAATGTATTAAATGTATATGCTGCCTGGCTCCCAGCCACTCTGGAATGAAAGGTCACATATAGCCTGCCATCATAAATACACGAAGGAAATTATTAAAGCGAAGAAGAAACTTCAGTTTGCCTGACTTACGTGTTTTGCTGATAAAATAAATTAATGCACCAACTTTCTAGATACTTTGAAAAAGAAGAAAAAAGATGTTTATGTGTAATAGGAATACAGCCAAGGAAAATGGATCAGAGGCTAAATGTCATATACATTGCACCAAACTATTACTTCCTTAATCACTGTTTCTTGAACAAGCTGCAGTCAGATGGGTGTGTGTAAGACACTAATATGTAAAATACAGCTTACTAATCATAACATGGATTCACACAATGCACTGGGTTAAAGCAAAGCAAACATCTTTGTAAGAAATTTCACACCTCAAGCTAAGCAAATTGTGGTTAAATTTGTGAGCATTTAGGGTACATTATGTTGGGTGAATCCAACCATTATGATCTGCAAACCATAGTTTATGGCTTAGAATGTTATATGATCTCAGCCAATTATGAATTAGTCAGGAAGTCCATTCATTGAATCAATGTCCACACACTGATAGTTTTTCGTTGGCTTGCTTTACTACTATTATAGTTTGTACTTCGAGCCTTTTTCAGTATTTGTGGGCCAAGTGAGTAGCTGTTTAGGGTTTCTTCTGGAGTACTTTGAACATCCTGGTTCTCTAATGTATCTTCTTACCTTCTTGGTCTTTTGTAATGGCTTGCCAAATTAACGGGATTATGGAATAAATTTTGCTTAGCATGAGGTCAATGCAAAAAGGAAGAGCAAAAGTTTAATCACTGTAAAAGATGCTTTCCAGATGTTTTAGATTATAATTCCTACTTACTGACCATGCTGATTGGGAATTCTGGAAGTTGTTCTCCAACAGACCAGGAAGATCTCAGTTTAAGGAAGGTTGAGGATATTTTGCTGTTATATTAACTGAGGGGGAAATCTCAGTGAATTAAACACCAGAATGTGTTTTCTCTTCCCTTCTCCAAATAACATCTCTGTGTATTTTTTTTTTTTAAGGCATTTTCTCTGCATAGACTTTTTGAAGATTTTTATTCTGGGTCACCATGCTGGCAGAAAGCTTCCTAGCTGTCTTTGCCTATAGAGTTGAGCCCTATGACTCACATCAAGGCCGGTTGCTCAAAACTGTTGGAGAAGAAACTTGGCAAAGCCAGTTTACAGATACAGATGCACATGAAAAGCTCTCTGTGGAATCCAATCAGACAGCAGCTGAGAAGATGGTGGGGATTCATGGTGATAACATGGATCAAATAGGTCATCAATGGATCCCTGGACAAGATGCACCAAGGAACAAAAGCCACAAGATCCCTCCCTCTGTTCCTCAGCGTCTACCAAGAGAAGAGCAGTACTGTGAAAAAGAGCTGGATTTGTACAGATCTTGGTCGTGCCAAAGTCTTTATCAGAATTATCCTGATCTGCATATTGGAGGTGATCATGTCGCTGACCACACATGTGATTCAGGTTGCATCATGGACCAGACCTATAACGAATTGCCTGGCCCTGTTTTCTTGTCAAAAGATATTCCCTTAGATATCCCCTTCCCATTACAGAAACCCAAGGTCCTGAAGTTGGGACATGGGGATGAAGTTGGGGACAAGAGCATGCTTCTCTCTAAGGAGCCCCTTTCCAACTCAGTGCTTAACAACTACATGGAAAAAGAAGTTCAGGAACTCTATAAACAGTTTTTGGAAGAGAAGCTGACTCAGTGCAACTCCATCTCCCATTTCTTGATGTCAAATGTGCTGATGAGTAACGTTGGGGAGGGCCACCACCCTCTGTCTCATGGACACCAACAAACTCTCTTGCATTCTCTGGCTCGTTTTGGCTTGCACAACACTAGCGGTGGAAACAGCAGTGAATTGAGCACCCCAAATTTGCAAATCTCCACGCCGCTTTGCAAAAGAAAACGTCTGTGATGCAATGTGTGCAATGAAGGAAAGACCCTGATTCTCTTTTTTTTGGTGTAGTCTTTGGTTAATACTAGAGTGGACAAGCTTTGATGGCCACGTGATAAACTCAACGTTTCTGGGAGGTGAGAAGGATACCAGTGAGCAGGGTGATAGCATATATAGAGTGAGGCCCTATCATGTATAGAAAAGAGTCCAAGATCTTCCTGAAAGTTTTTCTTTTTAAGAAACATACAATGTAAAAAAAAATACTAAGCCTATTTTAGGGTTTATGCTACATTTTTCCTGTGTATCAGTGATTTTTAGCAATCATAGCAGGAATTCTAGAGGTGGTGGCAACAGTGATGATAGAAAAGTAGACTTAAGAACAGTATTTGACCCTGGGCTCATACCTGGCTTAATTCTAAAGCATACAGTCTTCTTTAAGATGCTACAGGACATTTGCCATAAGAGATTTACTTATTCTTGGGAATTGCAATTGTGTGAGGGTTGGACTATAAACATATCTGATTCCATCCCCTCATTTTATTTTGGCATTTCAAAAACTTTGTCCTATAAAGTTCATATATTTCTCCAGACCAGCTTTCTTGGACTTTATATATGCTATGGAAAATCATGGGTTGACCTAAAAACTTGTGACATTAATTTTCTGTTTAAAAAAGGCAGGGGAACAGAAACTAACTGGATTTCTGCTTTCTGATATATCACTCTCTAACCACTTAGAATAATTCATTGCAGATCCATTTTTTCTGAAATGGAAACACATCTCTAGGCATCCAACTAGAATGGAAAGTTTCTGGACACTAACAAAACAGTTGGTTCTTAGACTATTTAATGAATGGATCCACTGGTGAAAAACATCTCTGCACATCTACTTTAATGGTGGATTCCCCTGAATGGTATCCAGAGGCACCAAATTAACCCCAAACAAGGACTTTGGCCCTTGGAATGTTGACACCCCTGCAGCTTCTTTTCCCCAGCTGTCTTTTTATTTTATTCAAAAAATATGTTATTATTTTTTTTTTTTTTAACATGGGCAGTAGGTCTTCTGATTAGCAAAACTAGACAGCTGCAGCCTGGTCCTTCACCTGGAAGTATGCCCAGAAAAAGAGCAAGATGAGGGGTAATTGAGAGCTTCCTGGGGAGGGGATGAGCTGGGGGTGGCAAGTAGCATTCTGAAGAAATTGCTTTGTAACGTGTGTCCCCTCTAGCAGCCATTTTGTAAATGGGCAAGTCTTGTCCTACAACCATCTGGGGAGACCTGTTCTCCAAATTGCACAAATACTCGCCACCCTCAAAAGCTTGGCTCTCTTTGCTAGAATGGTTTCTACTCCACCTCTGGAGCTGTTTTTTTTAAATTGTTAATCCAATGAAATATAAAATAAAGTCTATAATAAACAGTGACAATCCAATGGAGGAAAGAAAAATGATATTATCATGTATATATGAACTAGACATAACGACAACAAAAACAACAATTAAGAAAAGATCCTTATGATCAGCATAAATATCTCTCTGGACTTAATTCCATTGTTGAGCTTACCATTAAGTTTGGATCAGATAGCTACATAATGTGTCATTTTCTCACAAAACCTTCTCAAAAATAACAGAGTCATAA